TCTTATTATTTTAAGCTATAAAATGTAAACTGTTATTTTATCAATAAATAAATATGTTATCACTAATAAAAAAAAAAGTAAACTTATACCATTGCAGTTTTTTTTTGTAGACCTATAAAAGAGAAACAATTCCATCATATATAGTTTTGTTATATCTCCAACGTAAAGTAGCTTTTTCAATGAAAGCTCTCAGTCGACTTAATTTCTTCCGACATTTTGAATAATTATCGCTATATCTCAACAAACTAACACAAAACAACAGTAAACTATACGTATAAACCTTCTTGAAATACTCGGATCACTTACCAGACTTACCAGAGAGAGACTTTGTACAAAAGTCGTTTGCTTCGGTACCTCTGTCCCATTCGTGTTTCTACCGTGAAGCAGTTGTGTTTGCATGGCTGTGTTTCGGTTTGAAGGGTGGGATATGGCGTGAATTTACTGGGTACAGAGGAGTAACACCTGAGTCCTAAGGAATGTCAACGCATGGGGGGTATCATGGGCGAAACAGTATACTCTGTTATGTCCATGGTACTGCTCATGTCATTAGGCGACGGTTACCACTTTCCATCAGGTGGGCCGTCAGCTTGTTTGCCATTCTAAGTTGTATATAAAAAAATCTATCTACTGATAAAAAACCGCATTAAAGTCTGTTGCTTAGTTTAAAAAGAACTGAGCACACAGACAGAAGCGACTTTGTTTTATACTATGCAGGCATTTTATGATATTTCATAACTTTTCAGTTTTCCACGAGTTTTATTATTGAAACGAAAGATTTGACAAACATAATTCACATTTTCACAGGTTTTTTTTTTTCTAATACTTTTTTTAATGTTCACCACTAGAGATGGGACTAAACGCATAATGGGTAATATATTTTTTTGCGCGCCAAAAATAAATACGGGCCCATAAATTAACTAGTAGTTTCAACATTGGTCTGTAATACATATTTCATATAAAAGAAGTTGATAATTTAATTGGATAAAATTTATTTATATTTATAAAAAAAAAAAAAAAACAGAAAAAAATACCAATATGGTAACTCTCAAAGCTTTGTGTTTAAGAGTTTTTCTTTACTTTTTTTTTCACATAAGTCTATAAAAAAGAAAACATTAATAAATACTAGAATAAAAGAATTACTGTATAATTTTTAAATTTAAAAAAAAAATAGGTATAATACAATTAATCTTCTTTTATAATATATTTTCAATACATTGACAGTTTATACACGTAATAAAAATAGGCACAACGACGGAAACAGTAAAAAACGCGGGAATCTGAATAATGTTGCCACACACACGACAACATAACCTTCAGGAAAAGAGCATATTCCTTTTTAAAAGGCCGGCAGCACACCTGCAATGCCGTAGGTGTTGTGGGTGACCATGGGCGGCGGTAGTCACTTACCATCAGGTGAGCCGCATGCTCGTTTGCCCCCTGTGTTGTAAAAAAAAAACACACACACATAAATACATACACAACAATTACCTTCTTTTTTAACAATACTCTTTATTCAAATAGACTTTTTACAAGCTTTACAAGCTTTTTTACAAGCGTTTACAAGCTTTTTTAAATTGTCAATTTTTTACGATTCTACCGCTGGATTCGAGATGTTGTTATCTACTTAGAAGAACACGCAAAAAACAGTTTACCAGATGGAGACTTTGTAAAAAAGTCGTTTGCTTTACAACTTAGAATGGCAAACAAGCTGACGGCCCACCTGATGGAAACTGGTAACCATCGCCTATAGAGACATGAGCAGTACTATTGACACAACAGATTACACTGTTTCGCCCATGCGTTGCCATTTCTGAGGAGTAAGGTGTACCCTGTAAATTCACCGCCATATCCCATCCTTTAAACCGAAACACAGCCATGCAAACACAACTGCTTCACAGTAGAAACACGAATGGGACGGAGGTGCCCAAGCAAACGACAAATAATTATAATAGTATAAATGTCAAAATCATAGGTATAAATAGCAGATTCGATAGTAAGTAATAGATGTTAACATAGGATATATATTCGTACAGCATAATATTTAGATTAAGGTCCGTGGGTGTAGGTCTAAGAACAAGGAATTACATAGAAGGAGTGATGAAATTGTCAATTTATAGCAGGCTAGTGTACAGAAAATGTTATACGGCCGTATAACCCTACCAAATTCAAATACAACCTGCTTGCATACTTTCTACATAAACTGTGTCGAATATATAATCTAGTAATGTAAAATTTGTCATTGATAAATAATTGACATATCAAACATTGTCTATACACTAGCCAGCTATGAATTGAGAAAAATAGCAACTGATGGTGTATCTTTCGTCCTCTTTTTACTCATTATATTTGCATAAGGAGAAAGGAGACAACCATATGATTTACAGTTTTTATTTTATCATTTCTTCTATGTAATTCCTTGTTCTTAGATGTAGGTATATACCGTAGTGAGTCTGATATTTATCAGATTTACGATTTCTCTTAAAAGCTAATGAACTTTAAGATCCAGACGCCAGAGGTTGCATGCAGAAACTACAGGAGAGATTACACCTTATTATTGTCAAAGACGAGTACTAAATACACGAGCTATGAGAATGTTCGATGATCCCAGTCTTTCAAGCAATATCGAACCTTTATAAAGACATCTTAGGAGAGGTTTTTAAGAAATTGACTTTGCATGTTGCATGCACTCACCAGAACGAGACTTTGTACAAAAGTCGAATGCTTGTGTACCTCTGTCCCATTCGTGTTTCAACCGTGAAGCAGTTGTGTTTGCATAGCTGTGTTTCGGTTTGAAGGGTGGGATATAGCGTGAATTTACTGGATACAGAGGAATAACACCTGAGTCCTCAGGAATGGCAACGATTGGGAGGTATCATGTGCGAAACAGTATACTCTGTTATGTCCATGGTACTGCTCATGTCTATAGACGACGGTTACCACTTAATATCAGGTGAGCCGTCAGCTTGTTTGCCATTCTAAGTTGCATAAATAAAAAAAAATGTTCTACCGCTTGTACAACGGACTGTGTTCGGAAGAATTATTCAATAAGATGCTTAGAGTCATTTTCTACATTCGTACAGCTCGCTATCGTTAGAGAATTCATCCCTATACCTTAGGGCCTAGATGGTCGCGTACAGCTCAATTTCAGAGATGTTTCCTTCCACGAAAGCTCAGGTTACAAAAGGAGCTCCCTGTCGAGGTTTTTCCAAGAGCCTACACCGTGTGTCTATAGGCGGCGGTTACCACTTTCCATTAGGTGGATCGTCAGCTTGTTTGCCATTTTTAGTTGCATAAAAAAAATGGGGTTTTTAAAAAAAAGAGTAAAGAGACTTTTTCAGGGTCGGCAATACGTAATGCCCCGAATATTGCAGGCGTTCATAGGCTACGGTAGCTGCTTACCATTAGGTGGGCCGCATGCCTGTTTGCCACCTCAGTGACTCTGAAGTTGGTTGGAAGAGGTTGACTCTGAATAAACCTCTTTACTTACTATGTAAATATAGCATCAACTATAATAAACAATTCAACTGCAACAAAAGTACTCTCTTTATCACAGCAAAATCTTTATTGTAATGACCAATATTAACTAGTTTTCTAATAGATATAAGTCAAAATTATTTTAACTTATGATGGTCCATTAAATAGTAATTTCGTGAAATCATATAATTAAAATAAAGTTAAGACATAGATTTAGAGATATAGCGCCTCAGAATTAACCTCATTAAGTAATTAACAAATATTAATAATGACTTAATTCTTGATTTATTCTTTATAAAGTTTTCCCACTGAAATCTCTGCATTAACGTTCATTGTTGATGTTAAATATAGAATTTTAATAGGTACACGTCTCCCGCACTATGATTCGGACATCTGTAAAAATAGTGGCGTCGCGCGGAATCGAGCGCATCGTCAGTATTGCACGCGCCGCTGGAAACTTTACCGTTTAATATTCGAACGTACAATACCGTTCCGAATTTGAATATAGAACACGTTTAAATTAACGCCGCTCCGTTCGTTTCAAAACTACGTTCCAAATTCGAACACGGCCGTAAAAAATATCTGATTTACCTATTATTTTAGAAATAAATCTTTTGGTGCGTTTATAGCAATTTTTTTTAATTAAATTGAAACTCTCAACTGACGAAACAGAAATTGTCTAGTTTGAATATAGAACGTTCCCAACGAATTAACACCAGTTTTTGAATATTCCTGCGTGAACGCTCCGTTCCAAATTCGAATTGTGAAAACGTGTCAACGAGGATGTGACTTTTTCGTTTTGTATTGGAGTATTTGAATTTTATTTACGACCAGTGTTTGTTATAAAATGAACATCTTTCGTAATTGGAACTAAAAAAGTTAAAGAAAGTTTGTTCGAATGAGTGAGTCCTGAAATGGTAAATGATATTAAGTTTTTACTTACTTAGATTATATAAATAGAGTGTCTCCATACAAATATTTCGAGAAAAACGGATTAACTTTTTCATACAATTTTGCGTGATAAATAGATATGAGTGATTATTTTATAACTTCTAAATTTATTATAATTTTTGCATCATTTTAATGTATAAAAAACTCATTTATTAAATTATTAAATATAGATACGTCAAGATAAATTGTGTGCGTGAGTATACAGAACACTGATAGAAAAAACGAATCGGCGAATTGTCAAATTAGCTGACAAAAGTTGACCGATTTTTTAAACTCGATGCTGTATTTATATAATCTAAGACTGCAAATAAATTATCAACTGTATTACTCATAAATGTAATAAAATACTAAACGATGGAATATAAGAGGTATTTGAGGTTCCCAAGAACGAATCCCAGTCTAAACCTTTTTTTTTTCAAATACATGTTTGATTCGTTCAAAAGTGTTTGGCGTCATAGACACATAGAGGGTCATAATGTTCTTAGATCGATTAGTTGGTATTTGCTTGTACAGGGTTACCATAATTCAGTTATTATATGGAACAAATATAAATTCTTTTTTTTTTTTAATTTCAGGTACCACTAACCAAGTGTGAAGTGTAGTGCAGTGATAGTGTAGTGTAATGTCCAAGTGACGTGCAGTGTCGAGATGGAAGCGAACCCACTGCCCCTGGAGGTGGACGAGGAAGGCCGCCCCCAGCAGGGCTCCTCGACCGGCAGCGGATCTTCATCAGGCACTGGATATTATGGACATAAAAATGGTGAGATTTTTATTATAAACTTAATTAATTAATTTTTTATTATATTATTATCCAAAATAATAAATAGTAAAAAACTAGTGATCTGCCCTGACTTCGTCCTTTTTTAATGAAATATATCTCATGTTATTCGCTAATAATGTAGCTTTCTATGGATGAAGGAATTTTAAAAATGATTTAAGTAGTTTTTGAGTTTATCTATTATAAATAAAAAAAAAAAACATATTTTTTCTTTATTATATTAGCTAGTGGGAGACTTTGTACAAAAGTCGATTGCTTTGGTACCTCTGTCCCATTCGTGTTTCTACCGTGAAGCAGTTGTGTTTGCGTGGCTGCGTTTCGGTTTGAAGGGTGGGATATGGCGTGAATTTACAGGGTACAGAGGAATAACACCTGAGTCCTCAGAAATGGCAACGCATGGGGGGTATCATGGGCCAAACAGTATACTCTGTTATGTCCATGGTACTGCTCATGTCTATAGGGGACGGTTGCCACTTTCCATCTTTCCACTTTTATCAAATTTTATTACTTATGATTATATCAACTATAAACTAATTAAACATTCTAGCTATTTTTTAACTGATTGCACGGATATAAACTTTGAAAATGCTACAAATAGCTAAAATTATTTTATAATAACTACTTTTTCTTAAACATGTTTTTTCCAAGTATGTTTGAAATATATGCGGGCAGCGGCCGGCAAAAGTTGTATGAAAATCCATGTCTGTCGTGTATTGTGGCCAGATAAATTACTATGTAAACTCATATCTGTCCTGTAATTTAAAAATGGAATGATCTTTTACTTCGAAACATGGCTACCAAGGAGGTAACTTATAGAAGGTTTTATTTAAATTTCGATCTAGCTTGCAAATAGAACGCTGTTTATTGAAAAAAAAAAACAATGGAACATTATGTCGCGTGAAAATTTATTATTGTTCGTTATTCGTCATTGAATTTATAAAGTAAAATTGTGTTTTTGATTTCCGCGTATTGTTTGGGAAAAGTACTATACAAGCCTTGGCCACAACTAGGCATTGATGGACTCACGTATGTATGGCTCGGCTACGCCTCGGCCTACATTTGCACGTTCGTCCATCAATGCCTCAGTTGCTGGTCGCTGCAGTAATGTACTATTTTTTTTTTGGAAGAGAACAATTTTATAGCCATGTGGTCCCAGCATAGAATGGACCACCCTTTCCTTTCCCGTGGCTGTTATGTTCAGCAGTGGACAATAAACAAATAATTATCACGATTATTACTTTCAATATATTTATTTATTTTAAATAATTAATAAAATAGTAATAATAAAAAAAAAATAACAAAAACAAAAATGAAATTAAAGACTAATTTTAATTAAATCATGTCCCACACCTGATCCTGATATATTTAATTTAATATTTGTAAACTAAATCAATCGAACGTAATCCAATTTAATCGAATTTCGATTTACAAATAATACCTGTATAGTACTCATTTGTATTCATGAAATCTCATAAATTAAATCAAAACTACTGAGCTCAAATTTATTACTTTCATATTGCAATAAAACCACAGACAAACAATAATATGCGGTCTGTGGTTTGTAACTCACCAATTTTTCATTTCGCGCCAAAAACACCGTATTTACTGTTATTGCCATTGTAAAAAACAGCTCTCTTTACTGTGGCCTTGTATTTTTCGGCATTTCTTATTGTCCTATCAAATCCACTATATTTTATTCGTTATGGTAATATTTTTATGGTGTAATGTACCTCAACTAACTTGCACTGTGTTCCAATGCCAAAAGTATGTAACGTAAATTTTAAGAATTTCCAAAAAATAATAATGAATCTGTAATTTCAAAGTAAACTATTAAGAACTTTACATTTTTTTTTTTATACAATGTAAAATAGCAAATAAGCTGACGGCCCACCGACCCACGGTGAATTTACAGGGTACAGAGGAATAACACCTGAGTCCTCATAAATGGCAACGCATGGGGAGTATCATGGGCGAAACAGTATGTGTGTGTACTGTTATGTCCATGATACTGCTCATGTCTATAGGCGACGGTTACCACTTTCCATCAGGTGGGCCGTCAGCTTGTTTGCCATTCTAAGTTGTATAATAAAAAAAAGAACAAAAATTCACATTAGCAAATACTATAATTTAATTTCGTTCGAACATCACGTCGCGTGACCTTTGAAAAATGTAATACAAAAATAACGTAATAAAACAATTTATATCGACCTTAATGTTTACTAATTACACCATCTGAACTAACCTTTAAAAACACATTTTGGACAAAATTATGCGAATTATAAACTAATGATTATGTACCGTAGAAAAAAAATCACCGAATTTTCTTCAAATTATTACTTACATCGTTATGCCACAGTGGTACACGTCGTGTAGCTTTCGCGTTTGGCGTTAGGCGAATTGCCTTCGTGTCGATCTTCTAGCGATTTGTCGTTCTGCTTTTTGGGGTTCCATTTTTTATTACGGTAATCTGTTTCGAGTTTATTTTTTTATTGTTCGTGTGACAAACTAGCTAACCTAACTTTACAGTAAATGAATATCGTTGCCTACGAATAATTATAATACATGATGAGCTATTACTTGTTTTTTTTTTATCTTAATCCTCTACCATAGGGGGGAAAGGGATTGTTAGCAGTAGAGTTTGACAGCCCCATTGCTAGCAATTTTTTTTTACAATACATGGGGCAAACGAGCATGCAGCTCACCTGATGGTAATTGACTACCGTCACCCATGATCACCCACAACACCAGCGGCAATGCAGGTTTGCTACCGGCCTTTTAAAAAGGAATATACTCTTTTCTTGAAGCTTATGTTGTCGTATCGGTTCGGAAATACTACTGCTGGAAGTTGATTCCAAAGAATGGTTGTGCGTGAAAGAAAGTGCCTTGAAAAACGCACGGTGGAGGACCGCCACTCGTCCAGATGATTGGGATGAAACTAACAATATGCCCTATCGACCGCCACGTGGTTCCCCCTGGAAACCATCGTGAACAATTCCTGTTGAATTCGTCACGATGGGCTAACTGAGCTGCTTCATCCTCACCTATCATCCGTCACTAGTGCCCCGCCGGTGTATACCGATAGCGCGGGTGGGGTTACCATTCCATTATACGTTAATAAATATTTGGTTCTCCCTCAATTGGTTAAGACGTTAAGGCTCCAAAATATAAACAAACACATTCCACTTTCACATTATATTGGTAAAGATTAGTATAAATAACAATAGTACGGAACCTATATCGTATATATTCGACTCGCTCTTAATAATTTAACAGCAAATTACCTTTAATATGTCGTATGCCCCGTGGTTTTTTTTTTATTTCAACTCTTAATGTTATTATGATGACTTACTGTTTTAGGGTTCCCTAGAAAAAAATACAGTCTTTGGACCACGCTTGTAGTATGAAAATTTTTTTAAACCAACATAAAAAATAAGGTTCTCAATTTAAAAAAAAAATTAAAATCGCAAATAGGTTATTGTCAAGGTTTTTGCAATATAATAATTATAGCTTAGATTTGCGTACATTTTGTTTTCTTTTTCCAATACATAATCTGATGAATGAATGACAGTGAATTTACAGGGTACAGAGGAATAACACCCGAGTCCTCAGGAATGGCAACGCATGGGGGGTATCATGGGCGAAACAGTATACCCTGTTATGTCCATGGTACTGCTCATGTCTATAGGCGACGGTTACCACTTTCCATCAGGTGGACCGTCATGAGTATATTGTATGAGTCATGAGTATACTGTTTCGTCCATGATTCCCCACCATGCGTTGCCATTTCTGAGGCTCAGGTGTTATTCTTCTATACCCAGTAAATTCACGCCATATGCCACCTTTCAAACCAAAACACAGCCATGCAAACACAACTGCTTCACGGTAGAAACATGAATAAGACAGAGGTACCCAAGCAATTGACTAAAAGGGGCTGTGCTATTTACTCCTCCACCATAAGCTCCCTTAGTCGCCTCTTACGACACCCACGGGAAAGGAAGGGGAAAGATCATTTTACGTCGAGACCTATACACCATACACCAATTATACATAAAAATATGACAAAGGTAACCAAATATACCTACAAGGGCGAGCTTAACTCTAAAATAGTTCTCTTCCGGCAACACCCAAACCCAAAATCAATCAGAAATATAGAAAATTCTTCATTTTTTTTTAAATTTAATTAGCATTCATAGTTTTTTTTTAATGTATAATTAAAAAAAACTATGGATTTTTAAGTATCACTTAAACCTCTTGGGCTTGTATGTGGTACTTTACATTTTGTTAAAGTTATAAATGCTGTTAACAGGAAATAAACTCAATTTTTACTGCTACCTAGAGCTCTAGAATGCTCTCACTAAAACGAGATCCTCAGCGTGGATCGGAGCAAATCAAAAATCCATTATCAAGAACAGGTGCACTTAACAACGGCACGCTACATTAAGTCCTTTGTCATTAACAATGATTTAACGAACGTAGGTATTGGTCGTATCATTCTATGGTGGTTTATAGCGCAAGAGAGGCGATTAATGACCTGTCAAAATGTAATTAAAATTATTGTGTACAGGGTAAAATACAAAATGTGAGCGTATTTTTTTTGAGGGAGATATGGTAGTAAACTATCAGACGAGACATAAGGTTGTTTGCTACCAGAATGGTATAAAAAAATATTAAAAAGTATCCCATTTCTATCTGTATTATTGCTATATTTCATTAAATTTATCAGAAATATATTCTAAATATGCAAGTTTGTAAATTTGAATGTTTGTTACTCAGTTACGCCTAAACGACACCTAAACAGATTTGAATGAATTTTGCACTCTGATATACTAGTATTCATATTATAATAATAATTTATTTCTTAATAATAAATAAATAATAATAAATTAATAAATATATATATAAAAAATTTTCACCACATCTGCCCTTCATACGCTTTCTGTTTTCACCTAATGGTTAGCTGGCAGAGAATGCTATATGGCATT